GATATTTTTTCTCACATTTCAATTATTCATGGTTATAATAAACAAGTAATATGAAAATCAGTTTTTTTTATTCATAATCTACTACATGGAACCCAATCTTGGAGTTTTCAGTTTCCAGACATAAAAATTCAAAAACAACAATTTGTTAAACTCAAACATAGTCTTTTAATTCGGAGTTAACATTTCTTTATAACAGATCTAAAACGAAACGACAAAATTCCCAGTTCGTACAGGAAGCAATTTGTACTATTGGGACAAACCCCTACAGGATGTGATAATAAAAACGACCATGTGCTGCCTAGCCATCACAAGTGAAAATACAATCTTACATCTGGAGATAAACTCCCACTCTGACAGTCCATCACTTACCAACATGGTAAAGTTATTATGGGAAGCGGGGGGGGAAGCCGCATCTCTCGGTACCCTGAGCATTTGTTTCTGTGCTATGGTTATGCAGTCAGAGAAGCAGAAAAGGAACACACATTCTAAAAACATGTGCATTTTAAATCGTCACAACTACCATCCAAACTATGCTGAAATGTATGAGGAAAAATAAAATATTTGCCTGTCAAATATTTTGGGATATGAAAATGTTTAGATATCAGTGATGAGCCAGTCATCAAATCTATCAGTATAAAAACATAAGATATCTTTCTTAATGGGTAGAGATGATGCAAACCCTCTTTATCAAACAGACCACAGTTCAGGCTTGGGCACCATGAGACCAAATGTGTATATATGTATATAACAATGACAAATCCTGGTAAAGTCTTACTACACAACTATTGTGCCAGCCATATATACTGTATACACATCCCTTTCTTGAAACAAATATAAATTTTCAACACCAACTTTCTTGAAAATACAAATCAACTCATTTGATTTCTCTCTATACAAATCCTGAATACAATTTTGTTCAACCTTAATATCGAATGTCAATACACTATTTTCTATATGCATCTGTCATTCTAAAAATATCATATATATTTAGTAAATGAAAGCAAATACAAGACCAAAAGAAAAAAATCTTTGACTTGGATAAGACATTCATTCATTTCATAACATCAAACTTTACCACGAGACTATACATACAACTGAAAAAAAAAAGAATAAAAAAGGAACAAGATATGCTTCCTGGATACAGATGCCACTTATCACAATTTCAAAATATTGTGAAGACTGATACTAATGGCAAATTACAATATAAAAGAGGAGGATACAAAGCTCACACGGGCAAATAAAATTGTGACTGGTAAGAATTTATGCATAAAAAAAAAATCACTTGAAATCACTTGCTTACAGGGAAAATATGGACTAGTAGAAAAAAAAAATACTAGGAGAATTTGAGGATCTGGTTCCCTGTAAGAGAGACTGGGGTTTCGAGCCGAAGCCACACACCCTTGCGTCAAGCACAGTGTCATTCCAATTAAAACCTAGGGGGGGGAATTCGTATCAACATAGTATTCACTTTATTGGTTGTCGCACCTTGGTACAAAGGGCGTCACTTTCTCTCTTACCTTCACATGCTCCCTCCAGCACCAATGTAGCTTGGTGCACGTGATCATGATATGACTGACTTCACTTGCGTTTTATATAAAAGGAATGAAAACAATCAGGAATAAGAACTTTAAAAATATCATTAAAAGTTTGCAAAAATGAAAAGGACATAATAATAATCATGATACGTAGACTGCTAAATCATCAAGGGACAAAGCAGTTCTACAATAAGTGCACAACAATTGATTACAAGTAACCTTTCTAGTGAACAGAAATGAGTACACATCTTGCATTAACTTGGAAATGTGCATGTACTCAAGTTACAGAAAAAAAAAAAAAAAAAAAAAAAAACCCTTGTAGTTCAATATGAAAATTAAAAATAAATAAATACAATAATCATTATCAATTAACTGAAAAAAAAAGAGATACAAGACAACTTAGGTGGGTTATTCCATGTCTATTGCCTGTGCTGACTTGTGAAACTAAAAAATGACTAGACTACCAGACGAGCTAAATAAGACAAGTCAGGGAAATGGTACTGATGGTCAAACCTATCTGTCTACGATTATCTTGGCAGATCTGAGGTATAATGGTTTTTGTTATAATCTCATCTTTCTACAAAAAATTGGATCTGTCTTAGCAACGAGAAAATTTGACATGCTTCAGAGCAACCACTCGAGACTTTAATACTGCAGGAGAAAACATTGTTCCTACACTATACCTCAATCTCCTCAGTACTTCAAGTATTTAGCTCAGTGCAACCCTGCTTCCGGGGGATAATGGGATTAGTAAAAGAAGATATATAAACAAGAAATGAATAAATAAATAAATAAATAAAAACAAAAAACAAAAACAATAATCATAATATTGGTCATATACTGAGGCAATATGATAAACAACTGGGAAAAGAAAAAAATTAAAGGCAGTGTTTCAAGTTGATATTATTGGCAGATGAGCAAGAGAGAGAAGGAATGGACATTTCTTTCAAATCAGTGTTTCAACAATGCTGTGGAAAAAAAAAAAATGGTCTTGAAAGAAATCAATGTAATCTGTATATGGCAAAGTTGGGAATAAAGTGGGCATATAAGAATAGCATTAACTTGCATCAAACCTGAGATTGTGGGAACGAAGTCAGCAGTGGGGCACTTTACATTAACACAACAGTCTAGTTTGAAAATTGTTATATAGATTAAAAAAAAAAAAAAAAGGAAAGAAAAAATTATTCAGTGAATAAATAAACGGGACATAAGTAAAAAAATGGCATCTGCCTTGTAACTGAGTGCACATCACAAAAACAAAAAGTAAGAGCTAATACATATACCAATTCAAACTACTAATCAGAAGAAACGTTATACAAAGGGAAAAGTTGTGAGTTCTCCAAAGAATTCAGCGTTGGTGCGTACGCCAAACATTCAGGGAAATTATCTTTTTTAATATTTTTTTCACGCTTTTTTATATAACAAATAGTCAACGACAATTCATAAGCACCATTCAAAATAATAATAATGATAATTATCGTAATGAAAAAATAATAAAAAAACAACTATCTTCTTGACATGGACAGGGTTAATTTATGAAAATAATGTGGGTTAAAATTTCCTGATATATATCTGTCATCAAATACTGAAAACTATCAACTAGGCAGCATCTCTCATCAACTGTTACAAGTGCCATGCTAAAATCAACTTTTTATTTTTTTTTTTGCATTACTTTCACTTAGTACATGTCACGGAAGATTGATGCATGATAACGTTTTGTACTGTCATCAATAGGTATGTATACAAAGAGGACAGAAATAAGGTACTCTAGCATCTATAGTCAATGGCAGTAAATGGTACAATGCTGAAACATGTCTCAGACAGATTTCTGACTCTTGGAATGTCACACAACGTTATACAAAGGGAAAAGTTGTGAGTTCTCCAAAGAATTCAGCGTTGGTGCGTACGCCAAACATTCAGGGAAATTATCTTTTTTAATATTTTTTTCACGCTTTTTTATATAACAAATAGTCAACGACAATTCATAAGCACCATTCAAAATAATAATAATGATAATTATCGTAATGAAAAAATAATAAAAAAACAACTATCTTCTTGACATGGACAGGGTTAATTTATGAAAATAATGTGGGTTAAAATTTCCTGATATATATCTGTCATCAAATACTGAAAACTATCAACTAGGCAGCATCTCTCATCAACTGTTACAAGTGCCATGCTAAAATCAACTTTTTATTTTTTTTTTGCATTACTTTCACTTAGTACATGTCACGGAAGATTGATGCATGATAACGTTTTGTACTGTCATCAATAGGTATGTATACAAAGAGGACAGAAATAAGGTACTCTAGCATCTATAGTCAATGGCAGTAAATGGTACAATGCTGAAACATGTCTCAGACAGATTTCTGACTCTTGGAATGTCACACACTGCAATGCTTGAAACATCTTACAAGTTGAGCACGATGGAATAGTGGCAGTGAAAGTTAAAGGGCAAGCAGTAGGGATTGAAACATCAGGTTAAACCCCGCTGAACTGAACGACGACGCACTGACAAAAGGAAAAAAAAAAAAAAAAAAACGCAAAACATACATTAAAAAAAAAAAAAAAAAGAAATTAGTAAATAAATATAAAAAAAAAACACTTCCTCTCCTAAACACACACACACACACCCTCCCTCCCAACAATGGACTGATTGACGAATTCTTTACTTAACAAAAGAGGACCTAGACAAAGCTCTGACTATGCAAAATCTTTCTGTATAACCTGGCCTCCTCCTACTGCATGCCCCACACTCTGTTGGCTATCTTTGGCAACAAAACAAGTTACAAATGCGTCCATGTGGATACACACAACATGGCTTCTCATGCATAAATACCATAATCATAATGATAATAAAAATGGAAAAGCAAAAATATTAAGTAACTAAGAAAAATAAGATCAAAAAGATGTTAACATAGATAATCATGATAATACTGATACTAATACCAATAAAAAAGAAACAAATATACTTTTGCTATTATCATTATAATTGTGATTACGAATTATCATAATCATAATTATAATCATATTTACAATACAATTGATAACTGTAACATTAATAAAAATAACCATATTAATTAACTTAAAATGGTGGTGGTAACAACAGAAGTAATAAAAGTACTAAATATTACCAATAATGATAATAATAGTAGTGATAATCAAAAATCACAGCAATAAAACAAAAATTTAAATTATTGTGAAATTGATTATATATTAATAAAATAATAATAATAATTATAATAATAATAATAATAATAATAATAATAATAATAATAATAATAATAATAACACGGATGATAACAATAATAATAATAATAATAATAATAAGTTAATGAGCCACTCAAACTTACATCCTCAACAGGAGGCAGACACTCAGCCTCATCTTGAACAACTTCCAAGTGCCCTGTCGCAAGTGTCCTGTTTCTTCTTTTGGAATCACTCACCCTCAGTCATACACGAACACAAGTCTGAAGTTTATTTCACCAGATAATTGTAACCATAAAACAAATACACGACTTATGTACATGACTAAACAAATAGTACAAATGTTTGTATGTGGTTGCTAAGGGTAATTCCAGTATCGCTCAATATCACTGGTCACATCCACAAGCCACACAGTTATTTTAAATGTTCTCACTTCTCGCACTTTTTCCACTACCATAGTTCTTGAGAATTTAAACATTTAAAAATATTTTGCTCTATCTTCCCTGTTCACCCAAAGCAACCATATCACAAAACTTAAAAGAATGAGGTTGTTCACTGCATGACACAAACCTCGCGCACTCTGTATCGTTCATTCTGGCAGTGTATGATGAACACAGTCTTAATGTGGTTATAGGGTTGGTGCCTTATGCAAGTCTTGCATTCACAACTGACTCCACCTTCTTGCTCTGCATATCTAAAATGACTTTGCAAGAATAAACCTTCGTACTACAACTAATGGCTCAACAAAATGACTAAATCCTTCATCCACTTTGACTACAGCGGTGAGGAAGCACTTCAGACTCAAGAGTAATATCACAAGAGTTGAAATGCCAACGAAACACAGGAAATGTTTCATTGCCGCTAGAGTCTAGATGGATGAAGAATAAAGACAAGGCTTTACACCTTGGCCTAGGAGGAACTCGGACAGTCCCATTCTATGAGGTACTGGACTTTCTCTTCAAGACTTACTCTCCTCGCTAACACATGGAACTTTTCACCATTCGCTATTCTGTTTGCAGCCCCGAAGTAATTATTAACCGTCGACTTCAGGTCACTATATGAGAAACCAGTGTCACCCACTTTGGCATCCTCGCCTCCTTCACTACCATCCTCCATCTTGTTGCTTGAATTCAGTCTCCCACTTAGCGCATAGTCCACACAGTTCTTTATGCTGTTGGTGCCATTCAACCTGATGTCATTTCCACCATTCATATTAATGGCGCCATTCTGTAGTAGGAACATTAGCTTCGCCTTGTCGCACTTTTTGCGGAAGCGTCTCCGCTTCACCTCCCCGTTTTTGCCGATGCGGATGTCATTCTCGTTTAGTTTTCGCTTTAGGGGTCTGATGACTGGCATGCCATAACTGAGAGAGTCGAGATTCAGGAAGGGATTGTTCTGGCCCTCAAAGTTGGATGGAGGAGGAATGAAGGAATCAAGTGTGCCGTGCGAGGAGGTTTCATCACCACTTGTGTCTCCCGGGGTGATAGAATTTGGGGTGGTGATCCCAAGGCCTGACTTGGTAACTGGCCGCAAACCTTTGCCCTGTGGAAACGAGATCAAGTCAACTATCTGACTACAAAGACAGGCAGAAAAAAATAATAATAATAAAAAAAGAAAATGCTGCGCTGTGTTGTAATACATTACACCTTCTGGTTCTTAAACAATTTCTACAAAGTAATCATAACGGAAGCCTAACTAGTAAGTAAACAAGAGAAAGAAAGATCACTTTTTTCAGCCAAATCTAATTAACCATTCATTCAAACCTTCAAATAACTTATTGTAATTAACAATTAGCAATTAACCCTTCCACTGCAGCAAAAAATCACACCACCAGAAAAGGCATACTTCTTCCCTTTCCGTTTCTTTTATTACTACTATCTCAGTTTTCCTGCTGTATGAAACAATCCTCAAATGGAAACAAAGGTAAAGAAAAGAGAAAAGAAAGAGACAAAAAAAAAGAAAAGAAAAAGACAAGGAAAAAAAAAGAGAAAAGAACAAAAAAAGGACTAAAACCTATACCCCCTTGCAATAAAGCATTTTGAAGGTGACATATGGTCCTGCTCACAATACAGTACTTATTTTAATTCACAAATATATCATACAATGATTAGAAGCTCTTGGACCACACAGACCAGGTAGACAGTGTTAGTTTTTTGAGAAAAACTCTACTTATAATGTGCAGTAATGATTAAGAATGCCTTCAGTGCCCAACATCTGCCCTTCTGACTTTGGTATATCTGCTCAAGATATTTGCCAAAAGCAAAACAAAAATCAGTCTTCGCAAATCATCGTTGTGCGAAAGAGAATAAAAAAATCAGAGAAATAATTACGAAGAAAAACAGAAGAGGGAAAATCTGTATTTCAGACTGATTAGAAAATATAGTCATACAATATGGGCATAGGAATAGTCATGTTGTCATATTTTGTGTTGGCAAAATAAGGTAAATACCTTTTTTTTATATATATACAACAACAACATACGCACAAGACATTAAATACCAAACTGTTGACATCCGACATGATGGCAGCTGATATGATGCAGTTTCAGCACCTCTCGGCAGACATGAACAGTCGATGTATATATACTCTACAGTGGCACTGTCAAATTATTACAAGAATGTTTCTAATGGGTATCGAGGGTTCACCACAGTGAAAGGGTTAAAAAAAAATGAAGAAGAAAAAAAAATAAAAATAAATGGACAAAAATGAAATTCAAATGCAAACATATACAGACAAATAAATCCTATTGCCAGTATTACAATAAAGATAAGGGTTGGAAGAACTAAAAAAACAAAGAAAGGAACGGATCTTCCTCTCCTCACCTGTTTCAGCGCCTCTTTCAAAAGCTTCTGTGCCCTTTTCTGTTTCAAGTCGCGCAGGTCGTTTGCCGATTGGAGGTTCTGCTGGTTCTTGGGCGGCCGGCCTCGTTTTCTTTTAACCGGGGCTTGTGAGCCTGTTGTACTATTGGCTTTAACCGATCCTACCTCTTCTATCATTTTCTTTGCCTGGAATAAGGAGTTTACATTGGAACATCTTACTCCAACCTTAAAGAAGAAAGAAAGAAAAGAGAAAAAAAATTCTAAAAATCATAAATAAAAAGTACATAATTATGATACAATCAAATAAAAATTTATTTTCTTGTATATCAATTCTATTTTGATCTCTCTTGCACTTAAGAAAAAGACTTATGACAACAAGACAAATGTCAAACAACTAGTAACTCCAGTAGTAATTTCCACATGCACTGTCCAATGCAGTTTAGTATTATTGATTTTGTTTACACACAGTTGGCTCCAAAAGTGTTAAGTCACCAAGGAGTCAATTACTAGGACCATCTCATCACAACAGTTTACCTCACTCCTTGAAATTTTATTGGAAAAGTTTATCATCATTATTGCTATTATCATCAGTATCATGATAACATTAACAACAATAATAATGACAGCAACTGAAAAGAATAATAAAATCAAAGTAAAATAGGCCTAGTAATCAACTCCTCAGTGACAAACTACTTCAGGAGCCGCAAATGTGTTGACAAAATCACTCAAACAAAAAAAACACCGTGGACAACGCACAAAGAAATAAATGAAACAAACTTAAAAAAAACTACAAACGAGGCCAAATACCTTTTTATCATCCATGAGAATGTCCAACTCGCGTTTTCTCTTCCGTCTGACGCTGCCGCTGTTGGGACTCTCCTCCTCCTGCTCAAGGGTACTGGGGGACAGAGCTCGCTTCTTGGCAGGGCTGAACCGTGCCAGAGCCTCGTCCACCTCCTCTTGCTTGTCCTCGCGTAGCTTATAACTTCGGGGTATTGGAGGGCTGCAAGGGCAAGAGGAAGCAAGACTTTTATTTTCCATAGATGAATATTCTCCCTTTTCATGGTTGATTATATGTATGTATCCATATGTTTCTGGACATTTAAGTGGGATTATATATCTACTTCATACATGTATACTTTTCCTTCAAATAGTGAAGTATGGAAAAGTGGAAAAAATAAAATAAAACTATAGCATATTTCAAGAAACTATCTTATTTACTGCACTAGAGAATTTCCAAAAAGTAGTTTGTTATGAACCCAACATTTAATAAAATCAGAAACTTCGTACGGCTAACCCTAACAAAGAACACGCAGATATAAACAATTAAATAAAATACTAGCTGAATAAAATATTAACCACGTTGCAAGCACAATTCAAGCAAAAAAGAAAACACGACTTCACCCTTAAAAACATATCATTTTGGTCAGTATTTTTCCCCCCCTTATAATTCTTTCCCTTATAATGTAAAAGAACACATAAAGAAAGGAGAACAGCCCAAGTGTTCTTACCTGTCAGCATTGCGGGTTTTTTTGTTTCTTAGCGTTATGTGTTTGATGGAGTCTTCTGTGATAACACCCACGGCAGGCAGGGTAATAGCTGGCACGGGGGGTGGGACACGTACTCTTAGGCCCCATATACTGGTTTTCTTTTTTATTTCCCGACCACATTTAAACCTGTTGGCAGGGCAATGATAAAACCATGAAGCACATACGTCATATATGAGTGCATCTCTGAGTTAAGAATAGATGAAAATGAAAAGGAAATCTGTCTTTTCCATTTTCAGACACCTTAATATGGCTAGGAGAAACAACAAAATACAACAGCTTACTACAGTACCAGAAGTTAATGCCTGGATGCCAAAAATACATGACAGGTTCACTGAGTCCTACTTATCTCCTCTGTTTACCCTTTTCCTTGATTTTAAGATTTTTTTTTTCAATTTTTTATTGCTATTAGTATCATTAGTTACATCATAATAATCAATATCAATGAGAATATCAATATCAACTGCATTAGAAAAAAAAGGAAAAAAAAATCAAGGAAAGGGGATATAAAGTGAGGTCTCATGCCCATCAGCAAAGATCTTGTATACAACGCTAACCCAAATCCTATAATAGAAACCTTTACCATAAAACTGCTTCTCTATAAACATTCTCACAAAAAAATAAAATAAAATAAATCAATAAATAAATAAATATATAAATATATAAAACTTCATACAGCATATGCAAGGCTTATATTTCTTCTTATTCACATTTAAACCCAAAACTCCCTTGGCATGTTCCTATTTTACTTTCTTTTACTCTACTGGAGGGGTAAGGACTTTCATTTTCTTTCCCTCTCTTTGTCAAGAACAACTCAAGTGCTGACACTTACAGTCACAGACAGACAGGCAGACACACACACACACACACACAAAAAAAAAAAAAAAAACTCTATGATCATGTAAGCTCCTATCGGTATTCACTCATTTTCCCTTTACTTATCCAAACTAAAACATTAAAATAATTGCTCACAAACCTTGGTCTATTTCCTTCCAGGACTCTTAATACTTCGTGTTTCCTCTCACTAACTCGAATGTTTTGAAGCTGAAACAAAAAAAAATGTAAAAACAGTCAAATTATATTTCATGTAAAAATTGTAGCTCCAAAATTTAAAAGCAGCTCACATCTACTGAATCATATAATTCACAAATATATATAATGGTAATCTAACTTACACTAATTTGGAAAGAAGAAAGGAAGAAATGATAAAACTCGAGAAAGAAGAATGGTACAAGGAAGCTCATCAGCTGAGGAGGAGAGGAACGAGAGAGAGACTAGATCGGAAAGGAATAGAAGCAGAGAGAAATTCACGGAATTCGTAGGATGAGATGAGTAGCAGAGAGAGAAGTCAAAGAAATAAAATCCAAAAAGAGGAATTGGGAAAGATATCCAACATCAAAGAAAAAGGAAGTCAGAGAATAAGCAACAGAGAGAAAGAGAGAGAGAGAGAAGGGAGTAAAAACAACAATAACACACACAACTTACCCCTAGCGGTGCTTGCAATAATTCCCAGTTGTCATTAATCCACTGTGTGATGGTGTCCTCATACTCAAAGTAAGTTTTGGAATCTTGCAAAGTTAGATTAAATATTGATAGATGCACAACATCTACCCACTTCACATCTAATCTATGAAGGAATTCTGTTCCTTCATTGCACAAAGCACATACAAAAACATAAAACCTGCAAAGAGAATAAAGAATGTCAAAAACCAGAAACTCGTTGCAAGCCAGAAACTCGTTGCAGAATCAAATAGTTTCAAATATAAAACAGATTAATAATTTTACAAATCTCTACATCAAATCCACATTATAAAATGAAATGAAAAAAATAGAAGGAAAAGGGCAAAAAAGGAAAAGAGAACAAAAGGAAGGAGAAAGAAGGAGAAGGAAGAGGTAATGAGGGAGGAGGAAGAGGAGGAGGAGGAGGAGGGAAAGAAGGAGGAGGAGGAAGAGGAGGGAAAGAAGGAGGAGGAGGAAAAGGAGGGAAAGGAGGAGGAGGAGGAAAAGGAGGGAAAGGAGGAGGAGGAGGAGGAGGAGGGAAAGAAGGAGGAGGAGGAGAGGAGGGAAAGAAGGAGGAGGAGGAGGAGGGAAAGAAGGAGGAGGAGGAGGAGGGAAAGAAGGAGGAGGAGGAGGAGGGAAAGAAGGAGGAGGAGGAGGAGGGAAAGAAGGAGGAGGAGGAGGGAAAGGAGGAGGAGGAGGAGGGAAAGTAGGAGTGGGAGAAGGAAAAGGAGGAGGGAAATTAGAAGGAGGAGGAGGAGGAGGAAGAGAAAGGAGGAAGAACATGAACAGGAACAGAAAGAGGAAGGAAGGCTGGATTAAAAACCATGGATATAGAAGGTAGGTGGAAAAAGAAAAAGAAAAGAAAAAAAAGACAAACGGGATGTATCATCAACCAATTAAAAATATTATGAAACAACTCACCTATCACCATACAAGAGGGACAGATGTAGACAATCAACACAGGCTTCATGGAACCACTGTTTACATCGTTGGCACTGAAGCATGCGGTTATACCATTCTCCTGGTCCACCGCAGTAGCAGTACGTCTGCTCTCTGTTGCTTTTGTGACCTTGGTCCCATGTTAAGCTGTTAATCTGACAAACGTTTTGGAACAAAATTAGTAGGACATCATTAACATATTTAGATATTTGCTCTTTTCACATGTGTTACTCCACTTAGCTGAACTGACCAAAGTGAGATTCACAGTTTTACACCTATTTCACACATTATCATCTACAAGAGCAAATACGATACACCAGAATAATAACACTTTACATATTACTTTTAATCTATTCATGATATGCTACCAAGCTTCACTTTACTTACATCATATGGCAGGTCTAGTTTGGTATTCTCAGGTTGTTGCTGCTGTGGCCGTGGTCGCTGCTTGCGTGGAGAATTCTCCCTTGATTTCTTCCGTTCTTCTTTCTCCATGGCTGAGTGGCCTGCACACCTTGGACACTCCCACTGGCTATCAGGCTCACAATATTCCTTCCCTATCCTTGGCTGTAACAAAGAGGAAGTTTTTCTTGGGAAAACCAGACACAGGAAATGTTTAATGTTTAATACATTCATGACTATTTATCTTTACTGGAGAGGATAAGAGCTAAATTCTGTACCTGGAGACAATCTTGATGGTAGCCTTGCTCACATATGTGACACAAAACAATTTCATTTGTATCCCAGCTTTTGGAAGACTTGCATATAACACAGAGATCATCAGACTCAGGCAGTTTCAGCTTGGTGAGGTCTTTGTAGAGGGACCAGTGGGCCGTGCTGTCCTCAAACTGCACCAGGCAACGTTCATTTTCACTGTCAACCTGCAAGGGGATTTCGCTGTGAATTGCATCCAGAGCCAACTCTCTACCACTAGGCCAATTAGTCCTCAGTTTCCCACTAATAAAGATACTATCATTCTATAAACAGATGTACATTTATGTTATTAAAAGAATCCCAAATTCAGATAGAGAAGAAAAAAGAAGACCCATAACATTTGAGAAAGAATAACAATGGAATATATACAGTGATATGATGGTGATGATTGATGAGGAAGGAAGAAAACCTTTTCCCTTTCAGAAATCCTCAATCGTAAAGAAAAAAAAAAAAAAAAAAAAAAAAAAAAAAAAAATTGCCCAAGTGATGCAAGACTCGATCAAAGAGAAGAATAAACAGCCCAGTAGAAGGAATAGAAGAAGAAGAAGAAGAAGGGGAAAGAGGCCGGTAGCTCCTCACCACAACTATAGTTCCTAGATAATACAGGCCGTCCTTTCCATGCGAGAGTACATCCTGGCCCTCTACGAAGCGTGACTCCCTCTCTTTGGTGGTGCTGTCTGGTGTCACGAACCCACTGTCACCCTCGCTGTCCCCATCCTGCATTAGGAAAGGGGAAGGAAGGTCAGGAAAACGGTCCACAACCTTGAAAGATCATAAAGGATTTTTAATAAAGGAGTTTTGGTTAAAAAAAAAAAATTATACATAATAATAAAATAAAAGCATGCAAATGTTGAAGAATAACTCTTACAATATGCTCCCTTTACTAACTGGAAAGATAATGGAATTCAACTCTTGCATAAAAGATTGAAGAGAAAAATGTATACATACATGTACATAAAGCACCATAAAAGTAAATTACAATTGTATAATACTTCCTATGCAGCTTCTAGCCTTAAGACAATATAAGATTTAAACCAACTAATACAGCAAAAAAAGTCTTTCAGTTACTAACTTAAGCCTCTTTATTTAACAAAAACATTACATATTCTAAAATTCTAGGAATGTCAAGTTTTATTCAATACATTTCCAATGTCACCAACATGAGTAGTAAAAGTTCATAATGATTAGTAGGATTACATTCAGATAGCTGCATTATCAAAATAAATATATATATATATATCAGGTCATAAAAACTGTTTTTCATTACTTTATTTTACAAGATATATAGGAGCTCATCATCTGACAGCTTTTTAATAATACAAGACAATGCTCCCATCATTTGCAACGTCTGTTAATCCTAGACAAAGTGACAAAGTTTCTCTGATGTAGATGCCACAAAACAGTGTGAGCTAATATGACCTCTGTTGAATATTTAAGCCAATCCCAACTCAAGCTTTAGAAAGCATTTTTAAAAACACAACATGCACATACATAGATAATGAAATAATCTTTTGAATGCCAAATCAATACTTCTGCATAATCACAAGTATTTAATTAACACTTTCAATATCAAAACCCCTGACATGATCTCCAAAAAAATGAAGCAAAACAACACACAGCCACATTATATTATACCAGCAGCTAATGTTTAAACGTAACACAAATAGAGAAAAAAACAAAACAAAAAAAAAACTTAGTCGTCGTTGTTACTTTTCACAATTTTCTTTCTCTGTTTATACATTCTTGAAATAGTAAAAGCAACTGATGAGCAATAAAGGCCAGTATCTTATGAGTTAGTAAAAGCATCATATGGTTATTTGCCAACAGGGTCTTCCACTATGTAACTTCCTCACTGTGGCAAAAACTTGAAAAAGAAAAAAATATATATATTATATGTATACATTTAAAACTGAAGTATGAAATTCAACATAAAATCTTTTTCAAATATAAAAGAAACTGGGAAAACAATGAGAAAGTCACACAAAATAATTAAATTACTATCGAGATAGCAAGCGGACGATCCTCTGTGCAAAAAAAGTGAATGTCATAAGCAAGAGATATTGTGTAACTGTCAAGCATGTTATAAAAATTTTCAATCTCCATTATCATTGGGAAAAAAAATTCTTTATGCATACAATATGGAGCAGCTACAATGCAAATCTGAACCACCTCAAGTATTTATAAAGTATAAGGGTCTTCGAAGACAAAAGGGGAAATAAAATAAATAAATCTAAAAATATACGTAACTGAGTGGCTTCCCTACAAGACTACTGATGACCTATTAAATCCAAAACAATTTTATAATAAACATCAGTAATAATGCACATCAAGCTAATTCAACTTAGTCATCTATTGATCACTTACTATTAAATCTAAAATACTTTCATCGGCCCTTAGATTTAGGGCCACTTACTGCTTGTAATACAAATTTAATCACAATCTTCTGATTAATTACTGTTTCATATACCACAGTAAGTAAGGAGGTATGCAAAATTCACCAGAAGTGGGGAATCTCTACACCTGATATACTCGTGAACATAACTCTCAGCATATCTTGCATTTGGAGGTATCTTGTTTGCATCTCCATGTTTAATAATTCTACAAGAAGAAGCACAGCATCGATCGTCTACTCTTTTTCTCTCAAGATAAAATTTGTTGCTAGACTAATACTGCAAAATGATAAACCATGAACCACTTGCCTAAGTAAGAAGAAGACAAAGTGGGCAACTCCAGTTACAACTGAAATGATAAAAACAAAACAAACAAGAAGAGAAATTAAATTAAACAATGCAGATTGGGGAGACGAGTGACAAGATGATCTCCAGTGATATACATGCAAATATTATAATAATCAAAAAGCCTTTGTTACCTATATCTCTTCTACATTTACATACTATTATAATAAATCTGAACAGAAAACAGAATAGAACAAATATGATAAAAGAAACAAGTAAAAGGTTAAAATGCAAAATAATAATTAGGGGCATTTCTACACGAGCAGATGCCCGCACCTCCACCGAGCACCAACACCTATAGGGGGGGAGGGGGGAGGGAAGACTATAGATCCAACCCAAGTCTCGGCATGCTAAGTGTTCCCAATAAAATACACTGGATGAATGGCCCAACTACTGAGACTGTAATTCGCCATGGATTAAGTATTTTTTTTTTCCTCTTCTTCTAAACAAGAGATATCAGTTAATGTAATACTAAAATTGGCCCAGCATATTAGTACAGTCACAGTCAGAACAGTTAGGTCACCCTATCATTTAGAAGCATGCCAACCAATGTACAGTAGTTTCCTCAATTAGTTTTAAATTAAAAAAGGAAAATACATGTATCTGGGAACTTTTTGCAACATTTCAAATCTCATGGCCCTGTTTATCAGTAAATATATTATGCAAATGAAACATGTAACATAATGTAAGGCATTATCATCTTCAGACACTATTATTCTCATTACAGTGTCAATACACTTTTAAAGGCATGAGTGCAAAGTGCTGGATTCCATTTCCATAACCCCAAATGTGCTTCAAAAAAACAAAAAAAGAAAAAAAAAAAAAAAAACAAAAAAAAAAAAAAAAGAAAAAAAAAAAAAAAAAAAAATGGACTGACATGAAAATGTTATAATGAATTTTCTTTCTTCTCACAATCACAAAAAAAAAAAAAAAAAAGAAAAAAAAAAAAAAAAAACAAAAAAAAAAAAAAATGGACTGACATGAAAATGTTATAATGAATTTTCTTTCTTCTCACAATCACAAAAAAAAAAAAAAATCTAAAACAATGGACTGACATGAAAATGTTATAATGAATTTTCTTTCTTCTCACAATCACAAAAAAAAAAAAAAAAAAAAAAAAAAAAAAAAAAAAAAAAAAAAAAAAAAAAAAAAAAAAAAAAATGGACTGACATGAAAATGTTATAATGAATTTTCTTTCTTCTCACAATCACAAATATGTAAAATTATTCATTCATCTCTTTGGTCTAATGATTCTACAATTGGAGATTGGAAATTTGGGTGAAGATGTAAATGATGTAAGAATAATAAGCATGTGTGTCATTTATATTTATAAAATGTAACAAAAAAAAAAGAAAAAAAAAAAGGAAAAAAAAACTTGCATCTTTATTGATTTATACATATATATAAAAAAAAAGAACAGGCAAGTAAGTGAGCACTAAAGTAGTGTTAGTGACTGTTGGGGTGAAAACTATGAAAAAGATGATAACATGAAATGGAGAACGGGTTGATAATGTATGCTCGTGGTGCAATATTAAAGCTTCTTTTTCCCTAATCATTTGACTTGTCATCTAAGATTAATGTTTCTCAAGTCAAAAAAATTTTTTTTTTACTAGTTTCAGTTATTTCCTAAATGATCAATTAACATGAAGGTAAATTTAGTAAATCAACGAGACATTGAAATTATGTATACAAATAAACATATGATCTATACTCCTTTTTCCGTTTTTTGCTAGCCAGCTAACAAGCCTGAGAGGCCCTTCTACTACCAGTGTAAAAAGGTGAAACAATAAATAAAGATCTTTTTTACGAAGAACATGTGGATAATCGCAAGTTCACGCAAAGACAAAAAGAAAATTCATCTTGAGATTTCCTACGTATTCCTGGCTTACTGTGAAAATGATTAGTGTATTATCATATGAAGCTATATCTATCAGTTTCGTAATATTAATTTTTATAGCCTGCTTTACAGTATACCTACGTGTTATAGTTTGCAATAAAGATTTTTCCAAATAACATATATGGAAGTATATCCCATTGTGACTAACAATGATATTAAATAATCAAAATAAAAGAAAACTTTTATTGATAAAAGTAGAACCTACAGATGTGTGTAAGGCCTAAACATACAACATTATTTGTATATTAAAAGGTACATTCTTATTACATCATGAAATCTGCATATTGCTTCTGAGCAAAATATGAACACATCAAAATGTTCAAACAATAGACCTATGCTTACCCAATAATTTATAAAAGGGATTACATTGCACCAAGAAAAAAATATATTTGTATAAATATACCTCTCCAAAGAGAAAACAAAAATGGTTTCATCCTTAGCCAAAGGCCTAAACTAATTTAGGTATTGTAAGTCACAAATTAAATATTACATAACCTATCACTAAATATGTCTCATTTTCTCTGATAGGGTGCTTGGACTTTGCCATATTTTATTCAACACTTTGTACAAGTGTACATGTACCGTCCACTATGAATTTTGTTGCACAAAGACGACCCCACAAGTGCTCAAACACCAAGGTCAATTTGTATGCCCAACAAGATCTCACCTAGTTTTCCAAATCCTTGAATTTTCTGGGGGGGTTTTCTAATGCTATTAATAATGATATAGTTATCATTATGTTTTACATCACGATTACCATAATGATAATCAAAATACTAATGGCAACAAAAAGAAAAAGAAAAAAAAAATCACAATGTTACCACAAAAATCAAAGAAAAGGGTAAACAGGTGAGATAACTAGTTTGAGTAATTGACTCCATAGTGATTTAGTACTTGTTGAGCCATCTGTGTACATGCAGCCAGTCAACTAAAATCACAATGGAAATGGCATGGAAGTCACAGCCATTCCTGGGAAAGAATAAACTACTATCTCTTTCTTTTTCCCTACTTCCTTTAAATCTAGATATCACATATCATCTACCGTGTATGTTTTGGGTAACTTTTATCTTGCTAGCCGTTTATTTTCTTTAAAACTTTGGTCAGTTTCCTTTACTGTCTGACCGATGTTTATCTCATTTCCTTAATCTATCTTGTTGACGTACTACAACACCATTGTACTTTTTGTATCCAAGGTGGCACACTTGTCAATGAAATGGAAAACTTAGTGTATAAATATGATTGATTTGTTACTCACTGAACTGAACCAATTATAATTATTTCTCTAAGGCTAAATATATTGTTAACCTGTATCATGAATCGGGTAACTATCATAAAATCAGTAAGACTTAGTTTCATAACTCCCATAATCGTATCAGTTAAAAACTCCTAAATCTTCACAGAATCCACTTGTCTTTTTCTACATTCTACTTCATTTATTGTTGATTTGTTTACTATCAAAATGTTTACAAAATTGTGATGAATATTGAAGCATGGAAATATTTCTATAAAATTCTCTCTCACTGTCAATATGTTTCTCATATTTCATTAAATTTTTTCAAATGTTTCTTGTGATTTGGGCATAACCATTTCTTATTTATCTTGTAACTCAATACAAATGATAAGCAAGACCTTTTTCTCTTTTTTGCATATATAGACTTCATTCATTGCTAGCTAAACCACTAATAAAGTGAAATAAATAAATAAAACAACACTATAAGAACATCAAAATATATATCTACAGCCACAGAATACAAATACATCAAAGATTTCATAACATGGAGAGAAAAATAACATGGCACTATCTCTCAACTACTAATAGAAAAAAATGCAAGAAATCATATTGTGATTCTAGACCAAAGTTCTAAAAAAAATAAACAAATAAAAAACAACAATAACAGTAATAACAATAAACTGACTAAAACAGCTGAGTAAAACCAATACACTAAAAGGTATGGGAAAATGCAATACTTCAAAATACTTCAGCGTCTCCTGAAGGCAAGTTACGCTTACCCTCTTCCTGGCACCGGACATGATGGTCCTCATCCACAGGCCGCACACCACACGCAGCCACCTGCCTCCAGGGATGGTC